GAATGCCTTGCTATTGGGCAAGTTGTAATTATTCTATCTATTCAGCTAGTACAGGCTATGTTTAACGCTGCCAGGAGACGTAGGGAAATTAACGCAATGTTAAACTACGCAACAGAAAGGCACGTGCAACTACGCCGGGACGAGGCAGGAAAGCGGAAACAGCTGAACGTCACGTCAGGTAAATATGCGCTACGTCAGAATTTATTCGGCAAACGTGTTTCCATCTCCCGTTTTGCACATTAACTACTTTGCGAATCATCCAAAAACAACCTCAAGCGAGCGTAAAAACTTTTTAAATAATTGAGGATTTTTTTTCCGAATTTTGCTGTTTCCATCCGACTTTTTTTGTGTTTTTAATGCGACACTTCTGAATGCGCATCAAAAAAGCCTTGATGGAAACACAGTTAGCGTTATGGTGGTGGGTATCGAACAACAGAAATGAGTCGAGCCTGATCGACCTCTTGTTACCAAGATGAATCGTCAGTGAGTCGACACCACAGCATCCTGACGTGGTGTCAGTTAGGAAACACTTTTCCACTCTTAATGTGGTCGTTCGTCACTAATCTCCTGTTTCTCTTACCGCCTGCAGCTTCAAGGAGGACGACTACACGGTGGAGGTGCGCATTAACGACTACCTGGACATCGTCTGCCCCCACTACGCCCACGGAGAGGTGCTGTCGCAGCTGGCCGAGCGCTACGTGCTGTACATGGTGGAGAGGGAGGACTACGAGGTGTGCAAGCCTCACTCCTTCGATCAGCTCCGCTGGGAGTGCTCCCGCCCCTTCGCTCCCCACGTGCCGGAGAAATTCTCTGAGAAGTTCCAGCGCTTCACGCCCTTCACCCTGGGAAAGGAGTTCAGGCAGGGGGAGAGCTATTACTACATCTGTGAGTGTCGCTTCGAATCTTTGTTTCACTCTTTCACAGGGTTCATGCAGGCTGTAAAGTCTCACATTTGAAAATCTTTTAAAACGCCCAGATTTTGATCCAAGGCCTTAAATTTAGTCTTATTTTTTTTTATTGTTGATCATTCCCGAGAAGTGTTGGCTGCATAAATAAACAGTAAATAATCAGAGGTTGACACGATCTGTCTTCATGAAGAGCTGAGTTTGCTACCAGTCTTTGTTCATGGTTAAACCATAAATCCTGCGATAACTGCAGGCAAAAAATTAAAAGTTAACTTCATGTTTTTTACCTCTTTGCCACTACAACCCCCCACATACAGCGGCTTATTTACCTGC